CAAGAGTGTGTATAGGTTTGAGCATCGCATTGGAAATATGATATATGTATCACCTAGACCCCCTTTAACAATATGATTTTTCCTATGACTCAAATAAGAAGAAAGAAACTACGAACATAGAAGTCGTCAAGGTTCAAAGTCTTCACATCAATTTCTTCACAGGTCGTACCAATTTACTTCATTTGAAGAAATACATTTTTAGGGGTTGTCATTCTTCTGTTAGACCAATTCTTCGGGGACTATAACACAGGTGTGTATGCTCACAAAAAAATTATTCTCTTAATTTATTTGTCTTCAATACTCTAAAACCACTAAGGGGGCACTTGATGCACTTACATTTTCACCCTAGATTTTTCCAGCACCGACTCAAATGATAGATGCGCTGGAAAAGTAGTTGAATGTACAAACATTGTTGACAAATTGAATGCATAATAAGAAAAGCTATGGCATGATATAATTCACATATATGATGTCTGACTAAACAGTATGACATTGTATAATTCACATATATGATGGATGGCTAAACAAGATGACATTGCATAGTTCACATATATGATATAGAAACTAAATAGGTGGCATTCACACAAAGCATGTCTAAACTAAGTAGCTAATGTAGCAATGCAAGACACCATATGCATGACATGAGCAATATAACCATGTCAAATTAGAGCATACAACTAAAATTTCATTCGAATTTAGTGATATTTTACATAGATTTTGAGCAAAATATAAAATTCAACCCTCCTTTCTAGGTCTTCGTCAGTGCCGTCGAAGTCCACGACTTCTGCCTGCACCCCGTCACCGTCGTTGTCATCATCGTCATTGTCATCGAGGCCGTCTAGGAAGGACAACGGATCGTCGGCCCTCGTTCGCGGATGGTAAGTTTCAAACCTAGCTCGTCCACCGGGTTAGCTGGTTCCACCAACTCCAGTGGGAAAAGCCATTCGGGCACCGACAACTACTCACGGATGGCCCAGGACTGTTCTAGCGAGTCATCAAGATCGCTCGCCTCCCGGAGTGCTGCCAACTCCTTAGGGACCTCGACTATCAGCATGACAGGGGGCGACCGATGCTGCTGGAGGCATGAGGTGTACGTCACGCGCCTCACACGCCACCGGAGGCACATGTGGGTTAGCACGCGCCGCCTGAGGCATGGGTGCGCGACACGAATGTTGCGCTGTCGGAACTCGTTGAGAACATCGTCCCACTTACGACCTTCCCAAAACTCCCGGCGGCCTCGGGCGTTCCACCGGCCGCCGAATGACATTGAAGTTCGTTGCCGAACAGGGAGTCCCTTCACCGTGTACCCATCGGCGTTGCGTGCCACATCCTTGACAGGCGCGCGGTCGGCGGCACGAGGATTTCATAGCAGTTGAGCTCCTCCGCCTCCGGCACGCCCAGGCTCGCGGTTACGAGTAGGCCGGCGCCGTGCACACATGCACATTAGCTTCTGCGTGCCGGAGGACATCGTCGAGTTAAGCCACCTGAAGATAAGTACATCGGGGAGGGAGGGGTCCAGAACTAGCGCGCCAGGGGAGAAGGAGAAGTGGTGCGGCGGGGGAAGGCGGCCGAGGATGGGTTTTATAGCCGGCTGGCGGGGTGAGTCCGGTGGCCGGCGTAACGCCGACGCTAATAGAGGCCTTCGAAACCGCCACCATGGTCGCCCCAACGAGTCGTCACAGTTATTCGGTTTATGACCATGCAGCGGCGTGTCGCGTCACTGACCGCGGTCGTCCACACGCCACGTCGGATGCAACAGGTCAAACTGACAGCACACGGGCGGACACCCGTCCAACCACTCATCAACTCGCCACGCGGTGCGGTGCAACACTAGCGTACGTATTTGTACGCACTAGGATCGAACGTGCACGCGAACCAACCTGTGGTTGGATGGTTAGAGAGACTGTGGTATCACCAACCCATCAGGGTTCAAATCCTGGTGCTCGCATTTATTCCTGGATTTATTTTAGGATTTCCGGCGATGCGCATTCAGTGGGAGGAGACGTTCCCGTCGACGACGAGGCGCTTATGATGACTTCGTAAATCTCAAGATGATATACTGGCTCAGTCTTTCGGAGGTGCTCATAGGGATAGGGTGTGCATGTGTGCGTTCATATGGATGAGTGTATGCACGTGTATATGAGCGCTTGTGTCTGTACTGATGTTCAAAAGGATCGGACGTGCACGTATTGCCGTGGATGGACGCACAACATTTTCCTTTTAAAGGGCCATCCTGTCTTTTTTATGAAGGGGTATGGGTATATCAGCCGTTCATATGTTTACTAGTTGAACCAAAAGTGTTTTGATTTTTGAGTTAGTGTCGCACGCAAAATGCTAATCCTTTCCACAGCTGTAAACAAGAAATGTACTTTTAGGTTGGATCAGTGGTAATGGACCGAAGCTAGGTTAAAGTAACATGGGCTGGTCTGCGGTAAAACGTCGTGGTCGATAGACATCACGTCGGGGGTGTACGTTGCTGCCCTCTGTGAGCAATCGATTGCGCTGCTGGCCTAGCAGCTAGGCATCAGTTTTTTTTTCGAAACAGAGGCAAAAAAATTGCCTCATCGATTAATTAAGAAGAAGAGAATTGCCCGGTTAATGTACGGAAAACTGGGCTAAAACCGATACAATCAGACCATAATTGGGTTACTCATCAATCATGACCCCACAAGCACTCGTGCAACCCGCCAAACCCTCCTAACACGCAATAACTCCTCATGCTTGTACACCACAATTTTGAACCCGACAAGAACATCCCAACAAAAGATAGTGGACCACGCCGAAACCACATATGACGACCCTAACCATGAGGATGAGCCGAGGGACCGGGAATCATCCATTAAGCAGCTGCGGGCGTGGCGCCACTCTTTTTGCCTTTGCACCTTGGTGGCTTCTCCTTCACTATACCAGACCGAGGGCAATCACTCGCCTTCTTGTATTTGCCCTTGTATGTCGTTCCCGTCAGGAGGCAAGCAATCGCCCTTCCAGTTCCAGGGCTAACAGTCTCCACGCTAGCGAGCAAGTCACAAAGCTCTTTTGCAAAGAGAGCATTGGAATTATTCGTCGGCGGGGGTGGAATGGGTGCAGAAGCCACATGTGAGTGCGCAGCCGAGTTCACCTCACTCGACTCACATGTCAAGGTTGAATCATGTCCCTCACACGTGGTTGCTTGCGTGTCCACCATCATATGCTCCACTGATAGAGGTGAATCAGAGATCGCACATAACACTTGAAGCTCGGGCATCACCTGCAGCACCGGAGGCACAACCACGGGAATGCTCCCGCCCTCAACGGTAGACATCACAGTGGGCAAGGCAGACGGCAATGATGAGTTGTCCATAACTCTAGGGGAGAAACAACCATAGAGCTCCCCAACTCTGTTCTCCACTGAGCCACCAACATCAACCTCGTTAGGAGGATGTGGCGCAGGAGCGGATTGCAACACAGCCGGCACAAGAGAGAGCTTTCCCAGAGCAGCCTCCGCTCGCTCCAGAAACCTCCCAACGCGCACCAGGAGTTCAGCCTGGGCAGCTAGAGTGGACTGGAGCAGCACATCAGATGGGGTTGCCGACTCAGCGTGAGCGGAAACGACCGAAGCCCAGGACCTGCGGTGAAGCACCTTGGAGGGGAGCTAGGATACCATCGGACCATCACAAGGAGTTGGAGCTCGGTAATGCTCGGTGTCGAGGCGAGACCGTGGCGGCATGGGAAGGCATGCAAGTGAGCTGAATGGACGCCGAGCATTGCGACACCCACGCGCCCAGTGGCCGTTCTCCAAACAGCGGCAGCACCTCAAGGGATCTGTGCAATCAGCGGCTCGATGACCAGGAGCAAGGCATCTGCAACACCTACCAAAGAGCCAAGCCGGAATGGGACGAGGGGGTAATGCCGGAGTTGGCGACTCCAGACGGCGCCGACCACGCCGAGGCAGCACATCTTGCCATCCTCCAGTCGCCTCCCTCTTGGGCATCACACACTGATTAGCATGCTGAGCTGCCGGGACAGAGCTTTTGGCAGCCGATGGCATCAATGGGGCCAACTCCTCCTCTTCCTCATCGTCAACATTCTCGTCACCAAAGGAAGCCCAGGACACATGCCGCCCCATGCCTAAGTCGGCCGGGGACGCGTCGGCGGGCGCTGTCGGGGACGAGTCGAAGATGAGCGCTGCTGGAGACGAAGCGGGAGCGGAGGGCTCTGTCGAAGCCGAAGATGTCGTCGCCTCCTCCCCGAGGAGCGTACGTGCCATCCTTCGCCCTTGGACGGTTGGGTCGGCGCGGCGCGAGGCCAGGACGGCCGCGGCGAGAGCTGACGCGGGAGCTGGAGCGGGAGGCGGCGGGCAGCCGGCGCTCAGCACGGCAGGAGTGGCCGCCGCCGTCGTGACCGACGCGGATGCGGGCCGAGGTCGTGGGTCGGGGCGGCGAGAGGCGAGGGCGGTCGCGGGAACTGGAGCAGCGGGCGGCGAGGAGCCGGCGCTCGGCACGGCCGGAGTGGCCGCCGCCGTCGCGGCCGACGCAGGCGCGGGTCGAGGTCGTGGATGAGCACCCATGGCGTCACACTGCGAGGAGAAGCACGTAGGCTGCAAGAGGGCGTCGAGAGGATGCCGGATCTGGACCGGGCAGGTGCAGGGGAGGCCGGAGAATAGAGATCAGGGCGGCAGCGCCGCCGGCGCAGGCGGGCTCGCGAGAGCCATGTGCGCTCTCTATCTATCCCAGCTAGGCATCAGTAGGAGTAGTAGCTGCAGTGCGATGCGACGTTGCATGGTTACATGGGGCCATGGCGTGTTGGAGCCTCCCTCCCTGTTTGACCACATTTTTGAGAAACCTCCAGCTTTCCCACTGGTGCGTCTACTCTGGATTGGCAAGCATGGACGGTGCGTGCGCATCTGAGGCTTGCTCCTGGAGTAGATCTTATCTCCCCGGCCCCATGGCTCGCTCCACATAAACTCTCCACCTCCCAGGCTCCGAGCACCTCGCCACCGCCGTTCTGCCTACGCCGCTGAGATGACAACCAACAGCCCGCCCGGCCCCGGCCCCAAGCGCAAGCGCGATTCCGAGCCCACCTCTCTCATGTCTCTCGGCGACGACATGCTCGCCGAGATCCTCAGCCGCCTCCCGTCGCTGCCCTCGCTCGCCAGCGCCGCCCTCGCCAGCCCATGGCTGTGCGGCGTCGCCTCCTCCCCTGCCGTCTTGAACCCCTTCCTTTCCCGGGCTCCGTTACTCGGCTACTTCGTGTCGGTCGCCGACGGCGCCGTCCCCGCCTTCCACCGCGCGCTCCTCCGCCGCGACCGCCACCTCGCCGCCGTCGTCCGCCGCGGCGACTTCCATCTCACGGATCTCGAATACGATGGGCGCCTCATGGACTGCCGCCACGGCCTCATACTCCTCAGCAGCCGCCGTCAGTTGGTGGTGTTCGACCCCGTCTCCCGCTCACGACTGCATATACCTATACCCGAGAAGCACATCTACAGCAGGTCGCTCCACTGCTTCCTGCCGGCTTGCGGCGGCGGTCCAACCTCCTTCAGCGTGCTCTCCATGGAGAAGAAGGGTGGCAGGGTGCGCACACGCGTCTACAGCTCCCGCACGGGCGAGTGGTGCTCCCACTCGTGGGCGCCCAAAGGTATCAAGGGACCGAGGGAATCCAAGCTCGGCTGGCCCATGCACGCCGGCGGGCGCATCTATTGGAGGAGCGTTACAGGAGATCAGCTCACCTCGCTCGACGTCGGCGCCATGGAGTTCTCCCACGTTGAGCTCCCGGGTAACCTGCACAATCAGCCACGGTCGTACCCGTACGCCGTAGGGGAAACGGAGGACGGCACAACCTGCCTTGTGGCCATGAGTCGCAAACTCGTCCTGCAGGTATGGTTCCGCATGGAGGAGGACAAGTCCTGGGAGCTACAGAGGCAGGTGAATGCTTCCAGATGGTATCTGCCTCGAGGCCGATTGCAGAAGGTCTGCGATGTGACGGCCGGCGTCGTGCTCCTCTCCATGGGCACGGAGAATGGCGGCCTCCACCATTATGCCTTTCGCCTCAAGAACGTCCTCGAGGAAGGCACCACCACCACCAGGCCCGAGTTGGAGGCAGACTTCTTCATATTCGATGCACGGGTGCATCCCTACTTCATGGCATGGCCACGACCCAGCCTAAAGGTGCGCCAAAATAGCTTCTCCTCCCATTTTCTTGCTTGACCGCACATTTATTTCTTGCAAAACATCTTTTACTAGAGGTAATACTGTTTATTAGACCATTTTGCTAATAATCACTTGTTTGTGGATGTGTATTTAGAATATGGGTGCATATGCACCTATATGAGCCAAAGTGAATTTCTGATTTCTTAGTTGTTGATCCAGTGACTAATCTAAATTTCAGAAAAGTGGCTAGAACCCACTAACCAAGCTACCCGGCCGGGGCATCAATGTTAAGAATTGTATACAATGTAGTTCCTGTTGCCTACGAGACAATGACCGTGTCTATTACTCAAAAACCCATTTACAGTTTTTCCAAAATTGCCTAACTGAAGGACGAAAGTTTCTTCCCAATCGTAAAAACTACACATTACCCACTAGTACACGGTCATTGGTGTTTTCCGCTTCTCTTAACATGTTCTCTCCAAATTGGCTGACAAAAGTTAAAAAATTTCAAGTTGTTTTAGCCACTGTCAAGGTAGAGCAGCGACCTGTGCAGCTTGGCTGGCTTAGCTAGAGTGGCTATGTCACATCTTGACCTAGCCACTCTGAACCGCCGGATCATAGGTGACTGGTCCAAATCATTTCACTGTACGTGAGCATCAACTCTGAGTCGTTGATCTGAAATCAGACGGCTCACAAGTGGCCAAGTCAGCGACACCATACACTTGAAGCAAGCGGATCCACAACAAACTGCAACCACAGTCAAACACGAAATGGTTGCAATGAAATGATATATTGGCAGTTATGAATGGAATTTGGGAGTCTCCTATTCAGTACCTCCATCATACAACTTATTTGATTTTGTCTTTAATATTTGACGTTTTCAGGCTGCTGGTAGCTCTAACACGAAGAAAACAAGTCTGAAAGATCAAGAAGCTGGTGGCTCTAAGAAGAATAAGAAAACAAGCGTGAAAGATCAAGAAGCTTGCAGCTCCAAGAAGAATTAGCAAGTCGAAAGCGCTAAGGATCTGAATGCTTATGCATTGGAGTCTTCAGATAGCACTACTGTAGTTGTTTAGCGGGTGTACTTTTGGTTCTGGCCTCCTGGGTTTGAACTGCTCAGTAAGTTTATCCAATTAGCCATCTCCTGGCATGAACAAGAACTTGTGGTCCTGTTAGTTAAGTTCCACCCACTTATGTTAATCCATATCATGGTTTCTAGTGGTAAAGTTATGTGAGCATTCTGAAGAAAACTTATGCCAAATTCTATCTTACGTTTCCCAAGCTGAAGTGGTTCCATATTTTGCTGCCTTCCATGCATGTTTGTGGCAAATCGGTCACGAATAGCAAAGATTGCATCGTGACATTCTAGTTCTACTAGCAAATATGCTTGTCCATCTATTTACGACAAACGTGATAAATCTCAAGGCGGTGTGTTTGGTCATCATATTTTAGCATGGACAAATTGTATAATGTAAACATGGCTAAGAAAAATTTATAACAAGAGGTTCAAAAGGAACAAAGATCATTCTCAAGAGAAACCAACAAATATCGTATATAGATATCATGTGTAAACTTTCCAATTGGCTCGCAAGTACTCCCTCCATCCCTCCCCCGCGTTGCCTTCAGGGGCGGCTCGGGCGGAACCCTAGATCGAGCCGCCGCCGGTCCCCCTCCCATCTCCGGCTCCCCCTGGCTGTCGCTGGATGAGGTCACCGGACCAAGTCCACGCGGCGGACGACGGCGGCGGGGCATCTCCTTGTCCTGTGGCAGGATCTCGCGGTGGAGGGAGGCTCGCCCTCCTATGATGCGTCGCGGCGGGCTCTGCGGCGGTGCTCCCCAAGGCTGCGTCTCCGGCGGCAGCTGCCGAGGTAACGACGTCGACAGGTCACTGGGCTGCGTCTCGGTGCTCTCGTCGGTGCGTCGGGGCGGGGTGGTGGCCCCCTCATCCAGCCGGCTGGAGGCTCCTCCGCGCGCGTGCTCTGGATGGTGCTGCGTCGCCGGCGACTGCTGCCATGGTGATGGCGCCGACGAGCTTCTGGGCTATGGCTCGGTGCTCTCGCCGGCGCGTCGGGGCGGGGTGGCGCCCCCCTGCCTTTTGGAGGCCTCCGCGCGTGGACCGATCTCTGGTGGCCTGTTCGTTGGTGCTGCAGCAGGAGGTTGTTGGATCTGTCTCCGAATCCGGCTCGTCGGTGTCTGCCAGCGGCGAGGTGGTTGCTATTGCGTGGGATGGCGTCGTCTCCATGCTTGAGGTGCTTGGACCAACGAGTGTGAGGGCCTGTGGCTCTTTTGTCGCCGGCTGCGTGGGTTGGAGAGGATTGGGATGCTTCGGATGAGAATCTACCCGGCTTTGTTGGTACCGATGACGCGTCGCCCGTGGGCGTCGTTCTCCTTGCTAGAGGGTCGTTGTGGAGCTCTCCCCCTTCTCCACCCCGAGTCATGTCCTTCGTGCGAAAACTCAAGATTTTGTGTGAGTCGGGCAACGGCGTAGCTTCAACGTCGCTCCCCCCTTGGGGGCATCGCCTTTGGTCATGGTCTCCTACGCGCCTCCCCAAGGGCTAGACGAGCACAACATCGCGGTCGGTAGGTGCCCGACCGGTGGTGTGGCGTTGCACGTGTGTGGCAACGACTATGGTGGCGAGCAGAGCCGAGTCGCGGCATGTCCGCCGACAGTCCGGTGCGTCAATGGGCGCGTATATGCTGATTTCTGGCTGTGACAAAGAAGTCGAAGCTGCGGGCGGCGGGACCACTGCGGCAATGATGACTCCATGAGGGTGGTTTTTAGCGGGCGGTGCTCTTCGGATGTTGCGCTGGAATAGGTCGGCGCGAGGCTTGCAACTTTTTTGTGAAGCTCGTTAGCATAATCGGAGCTGCCTTGTCCACGATGCTTCGGTCGACTGTTTGGCATTTGTGGCCAGGTCGTCTGCGTGTTCCCCTTCTGGGGTTTGTAATCTAGGTTTTTGCCCGGATTTCCTCTAATTAACCAGGCAACTTTCTTCCTCTTAAAAATGAAAAATCTTTTGCCTCGTTTCAAAAAAAAAAGATCATTCTCAAGGCGGTGAGTTTGGTCAGTTGCCAAGCGCCTCCACTGTGCATGTTGTGTTGCCAACCAATTCAACACCAATATGTGCATAAATGCAACACGTCGCGACCTCAAAAATCACTATTCAAAGTTTCAAACACGAGCACATGAAGGTTAATTACCACACCTATTTGTTCCTTCTTTTAATTCCAAATAGGTGTGGGATTTTTGGGCCAAACCAGGCAGTGGGACTTTTTTTGGCCTAAAATGGCAGCGAGGCGAGAGCCGGACTGAGCCCAAACGAAAGCTTGTTCTTATGTCTTGGTGGACAGGCTTTTTTGGGCCAAGGTTGGAGCGTGGGCGAGCAGCTGGATATGGCCCTTCTCTCCAAGAAGTACCACCATAAATAGAAAAATAATCTAAAAATATATAATATAGGTGAATATACATGTTTTTCTATATGAGGCACGTTCTGTCAAGTTAGCATGGAAACAAGAGGAGCAGACGGGTAATTGGACCGGCCCACTTTAGCCGCGAGTGAGCGATTGGTAGAATCTGGTTTTGGCAACCTCCTGGAAGAATCCTGGCCGGCTTAGGGAACCTTCTAAAAGGTTCCTGAACAGGTTATTACTGCATTTTCAAGTTGTTTCCGTTTTTTTGTTTTTCTTGTTTTTCTTTTCATTTTCTTGTTTCTTTTTCTCTTCCTTTTCTCCTTTTGTGCTTTATTTTTCCCTTTTGTTGTTGTTTATATTTCTTTCTTAAAAAATGTTCATGATTTAAAAAAATCATAAATTTAAAAATTATTTATGATTTTTATAAATAGTTCAAAACTTCGAAAAAAATTGTTCTTGTTTTGTAAAAAAAATCACAAGTACTAGAAGTGTTTAGTTATTTGTTAAGAAAATTTAAAGTGTTACACTTTTCAAAAATAATGTTTAAGTTCAAATATTGTTGCTAATTTCAAAAAAATTCATAAATTTAAAAAATATTCAAGATTTTAAAAATGATCGAGCTTTCAAAAGTTGTTTGCAGATAAAATAAAGTGTTCGCCTTTTCCAAATTTTGTTCAGAGTTTCACAAAATGTTCCCATTTTACAAAAAAAAATCATGTTTTGAAAAAAAAATAGTTGTTTCGAAATATGTTTGGAATTTTCAAAAATTATTTGAATTTGAAAATATTTGATATATTAAAATTGTTCGTGTTTTGTCAAAAAGAAGTTCAGAATTTCAAACAACCCAGTTATTGTACGAAATATATTCGTTGGTTCAACTCACTCGCTTAGGACGACTTCTATTTATCGAAAGTAAGCCATGGGCAACGATAGTTCTTCATCTATGGTTTGTGAATATAAGGCAAATACAGAGGCAACACAGACATAATCACCTCCGGATCATTTGCGAAAAACATCATTCAGATGGTTCGCCTAAGTTCTCTATTGCATTGGTATTTGCCATTTTACGGATCAATCATAAACTATGTTGTTCAGAAGTTGCTTGGCTTCTTGGATCCAGTTGGTCTTTGTGCCAAGGGCGCAACGGTCATCTATTCTTATTCATGTTGATGCTCTTTGGGGATGATTTCTCTACTTCTATAAAAGACTCAGCTGGTGATGATGGTGTGTCTGCCATCCGTCATTTCTAACCATCAGATCTGCATCTAATGATTGTGAGGTAAGCTGTGGCATTTTTGCAACAAGGCCCCACTTCTCTGCTCCAATTTGCAGAAAACCCCTTACTATCTTGAAACCAACCACATCCCTCCCTCACCTCATTCCTTACTAGAGTGTTTTTCTTTCAAGTTTGTGAACATGTATTATTCTACTTTGGATCCGTTGCAACGCACGGGCATATTCCTAGTATAAAACAAACATTAGACATGTTGCTTACTGGTCATAGTTCTACTTTGCGCCAGTGGCACAACGGGCATCTAGTATGGTTAAAACTTAATAGAGATGGAGGCGAGTAGCTTAAGGCATATTGAGCGCTACATGTGAGATTTTCAAGAGGTGTTGGACAATTTTTTAACCCAAAAACTTGGCATTCCATATTTAGCGACGAAGGCGCTCATTAATGTGTGTTTTGCAAACCAGTGCACAACATTCTCCATGCCTGGGCTGGCCCATTTCCTTTTCTTTCTTATTTTGTTAAAATAGGAAAAATTGGTGCGCGACAACGCAATCAAACCTGGGACCATAAGTTCACAGAGCACGCGCCAACTATGACATCACACCACCTTTGACTAAAAACTTTGTTTTTCCCATTTTATTATTTCTCCAGCTAACCGAGCCACCGAATTTGGGAAGCTTCCAAAACTGGTTTTTTTCTCTTTTGTGTAATGGTTTGGTCGGTTTTTCTTTACTTTTTTGTTTGCCTTTTGTTTCGCAAATGCATGAACTTTTTTCAATTTTCATATTTTTTGTTTTAAAAATGTTTTTTTTAATTCATGGACTTCTAAAAGAATTGATGAACTTGCTTTCAAATTCATGTAGTTTCTTCAAAATCAATGAATTTTTTTCACAATTGATGATTTTTTTCAAAATCACTGAGCTTTTTCAAAATTGATGAACTTATTTTCAAAATTGATGATCTTTTTCCAAAATGAATGAACTCTTTTCAAATTTGAGAACTTCTCTTCAAAATCAATAAACTTTTTTCAAAATTTTGTGATTTTGGTTCCAAAATTGATGAACTTCTTTAATTCAACGAACTTTTCAATTTTTCAAACTTTTTTACCATGCCGGTGATCTTTTTATTTGTAAATCTATATATTTTTAGAACAACAAATACGGTTTATTTTTTCGAATGGTCTATACGGGTATGTTAATGTTGTACTAAAAGTATTATTAACTAGCAATGTTTTCGTATTATACAAAACTAAGTTGTCTTGATCCAGATGGTTGTTCGGCTCAGACTACGGCTACAATGGTGGCCATGTGGGTCCGAATTCCACCTCTCCCTTATAAAAGAAGTATACTTTTCACCCCCAAATCCCCTCCAATGGAGCCATAACCCCCTCAACTCGAATTTGGTATGATTTCAACCCTAAACATGTCAAAACCAGATTAATCAAGCCCTGAGTGGTTTCATGCCACATCAAAAGTGGTTTTGCAGCGCATGGTGGTGATTAGGCACTGATTTTTCGTGACGTGCCGCTGAGGTGGTAGTAACTCGGAAATAACTCTGTACGGTCCCTTGTATCGCTACCTCTAGCGTACCTTTGCCATCACTGCCTCCTCCAGTGTCCCGATTGCCACCATAGATCATGATGAAGGCGGGCTGGACCACTACCCTGGCACGGTGACGCCGTACATCATTCTTCCTGCGCAACATGTTCAGCAAGTCGCTGCGGCCTGTCCACCTCCGTGTCGCGCGCATGCATGGCGCCGGCTCCGTCGTGAACTATATGCAAGTAGATACCTGGATTGTGTCCAGCGCCATGCACGGTAGATCTGTAAGGCATGTGGTTGCAGATCGTGGATGGCACCGCGGTTCAGTTCGCAGGGGCGACGCACGCTGGTAAGTCATGATCAAGGGTGTCCGCGCCCACGGTGGTGATCCAAGCCTTCACATAGAAGAGTATCGAGCTCCCAGGCCCGACGCTCCGGGCAGAGCATGACGGCCAGGAAATCCGAGTCTCTAATATGAAGCTACCGCCGAGCGAGCAGATCTTGTCCATACCATGCACGTGCTCTTCCACGATGGCGACACCTCGCCGAGGCCCGTGTCGTATCAGCTCAGGCACCGGTGTCGAACACCACGACAAGGCGACGACAACATCGCCCGCCGTGACGGACTATGGGAACAAGCCCTTGCTCCCGGCGAGCCGGGGGAACTCAGGCGTCCGCATGGATGTGCAGGACATACTGTGCCTCGGGGTTCACGGCCAGGACGCTCTCCATGCCCACCATGTCGTTGGCCTATTTCTCGTTCAGCCACAAAGAGCCCATGGACACTGAACACAGCGACGATTGGCCACATCATCGCCTAGTCATTGTCAAAATAACCGAAACCACCTAGAAAACCACCTTTGATGTGGCATGAAACCACTCAGGGCTTGATTAATCCGGTTTTGACATGTTTAGGGTTGAAATCATACCAAATTCGAGTTGAGGGGGTTATGGCTCCATTGGAGGGGATTTGGGGGTGAAAAGTATACTTCTTTCCTCCCTTATTTATTCTAATTTTTCTTTTCTTTTCATGTCTGGTTTTTTAGGATGTTGCTGGGCCAGCCCGCTAGCGTCGTGCGTGAGCGCTCCCCCAAAACTTCTCCAACTTTTATGCTACAAGCACGGTAGTGGATATCTTGGAATTTGGCCCTAAAACTCAAATGGAAGGAGTAACTCATTGTAAGTAAAGGCATGAAAGGCCCAAAGCAAGTTTCAATTATTATTTTCATAATATATTATGTATTAGATGACTAGTTCTACTCCCTCTTATGGAGTAGATGACATGGTCCCTAGTAGAGTATTTGCATGTAACCATATTGATAATTAAATAATTTTAAAAGTAATGATTAAATGTTTTTAAATGTAATCAATGGCTGCTAAAGGATTTGGTTGCAATTAATAACCAAAAGGATGTATCCACAACTGTGTCATACATTGCAATAAAACTTTGTTAGATTTAACCCCTAATTTCTCAATGCTCTTGACTGAGGATGTGGATGTGCTCACCTAGCAGCGATTTAATGGTTCTAGATAAGGATGTGAATACGCGCATATAGCAAAACATATAATTATCGGTTCGAAAAAAAGTGCTCATATATGCATAGTTTGGCTAACAATCAATATTATATAAAACTACCATCTTTACAAATTGTGTATGTTACTATTTACTAAAGATTTGCATGATCCATGCATACACAAAAAGCAACGGTTATGTATCAATTGCTACTAAATTTGAATGTATGGATAAGGATGAACTTTAATACCTTCCATGTCATGCAAAAAATTACTGATCACCAAAGTTTCTCATACACTATTCTAAAAGTGTCTCTGACAATTGGACCTAACATGAGTACGCATAGATGAAACTCTTTTGAGTGAACTATGTAGTATTAGTCAAACCCTCTTGTGGAAAATGGACAAGTTTTATGGTCCTTGGGGAGATAATTTTGTTTATAAATGGCCACTTCTATATAAGGGAAATACATCTCCACATATCTCCCACCAATATGTTGTTAGCCAACGGTTTCAGTAAATCTTGTAGATCCTTTTGGTTCCTACTTATAGTAGTAGGTTTGTTTGTCATTATAGGATTTGATATGCCGAGGAGGGGTAGGCGGTTGGGTATTGCTTATGTCCATGACGACAAAGAGCGTGATGTCACCTTCTTCAAGCGACGTGGCGGTTTATTCAAGAGCGCTGCCGACCTCAACGCCATCATTGGTGCTAGGGTTGCTATCATCCTGGAGACAGAAAATAAGAAAATGTACTCATTCGGGACGCCATCAACTGGCCCCATTGTCGATGCTTTTTTGTCAGCAGCACCGCTAGGAAATCAATTCACTAAGAAGGAAACAAGTGCCCAAATTGCGCGACTACAAAGTGAGGTGGCTCGACTTGATATGGAACATGGGATGGAGGATAAGAGTAATCAACTCTCCATCCAACATGTGAAACAAATCCAAGAACAGTACCCAGGTATGGTGGCAAAACTTATCTTCTCGAAGGAACAAGATCTCAACCTGGAAGATGCTAAAAAGCTCTTCAATGAACTCTCTCGTATCCATGAGGTCACTAGACACCGGCTGCCTAAATTGCATCATAGCTACAAAGCCATAACCGATGGTGCAAGCGTGATTCAAAACATGCTACCATCAAGTGGTCCACCGCCAGAGAGCTTGAAGACTATCCCTTCATCAGTGCACTCAATGTGGGATCACCATCTTCCGCAACACCATATGCCTTCCACTCTGCTAATATCAGCACCTGAACACAACGTGGAACCACTTTTTCCTTGGGTACCACAAGTGTTCCATGTTGCATCAACAACTTCAGCGCCACAATTTGCTTCCCAGCTACAAGGCATTCCTAATCAGGTACAGGATCCGCCTCCAGCAGATTTGGATGTCGAGGACTATATAAGCCCTTGCGACACAGTGCACCCACCACAAAACAATGCAAGCCCTATCTCAACAACTGAGCATAATATGGAAGCCTCTCCACTATTGGTCTACTCAAGTAGCAACAATTTTGTTGTGGATGACCCATTTGGCCGTGATCAATGGGGTTTTGCTCTACCAGATCAACAGCTCTACAATGGGTTTCTAGGGATGGATGGTTACCTAGGCTATAATGGTACCTATGTAGGACAATCTTCTATGGGTAATGGTGGATGGGTTGATGCTCCTCCAGAATCTTCTCCTGGCAAGCAAGATGGCGATGCTCGTATAGAGCATGGAGGGCTTCCTTAGATGCTAGTTAGCAATTACATTTTAGTGTGATATTGAAATAAAATCGAGTTATATTTTTATTTGGAAAATTGTTATCATTTGGACTATTTACTAAGCACCATTCAAGGCAATAAATTGGTATTCCATGTCTCAGATCATGAATATTGTTTTATTTATGTGTCTCTTATTGTCCTCATAATAATCAAACATTTTATTTTTCTTGTTGAGATGATATGCATCTTATAGATGAAAGAAGGGAACCTGGATAAAGAATAAATACTCTCTGCGAATATTGCAATCAGGCCATTAAGGATGGCAATGGGTGGAGTTTGGACCGGGTTGAACAATATAAAATCCATATCGAGTCTCTGCCCACCCAGGAAAAAACCCATGGGCGAAAAATTGTGTCCATGTCCAAACCTAATGGTATCCATCATGTCCTCTCAAGACATATACATAAGACATAACACAACGTTCACATAAACTCTTCCATTCTTCACCTCATGGCAGGCTAGGCTTCACTTATGGAAATCAACGTCCACTAGTAACCTAACCTCATTTAGTATTTTTCTTCCTTGGGAACAAGGTGGACCTTCCCAGATTATCAAGTTTTAATGAATCTTTTAACATCCCTTTTGATTGAAATTAACTGATTTGGCAAAACATAATTACTAATTACATTGCGTATGTACCATGTCAAAGTGAACTGTTTACTGATTTTTCTATCGGCCACCAACTAACCAACGAATTGTCCACCTCTATAAATCTACGCTCCAATTACTACTCATAATTTCCAGAAATACATGCAAAATCATTCTAACAAGCATGTGTTGCACATCCATGTACAGGAACACCAGGTGTAGCTTGAAAAATATTCTTATATTATGGGACGGAAAGAGTAGGAACAAGAAAATTAGCTCGAACGTCGCTTTGCTACATCCCCATGCCATAGTGCTCCTGTTCTTGCGTGCCTGTGCACTCTGCACGATGCGTGCTTTGCATTGTCGTGCTGACTGCGCTGCCTTGCCGTTAATTGTCTCCCATTAGCCCCTGTTGCACCTTGGGGTCAATGCGTGTGTGGAAAAGCGGAAACAGAGGGTTCGAGGGGATACAGAGCTGCGTTATCGTAGGCCAGTTGCGCTAGCTGCTGCAGTGCTCCACCATACGTGGAGGTAGTGGCTGATAGCGTCGGCCATCTCTAGGGCTGTGAGAGGAGTAAGTTGAGGAGACTAACAAGTCATTTAATGAGGAGATAAAAGGATGAGAAAGGGCGTTGGAGATTGAATGTCAACTAATAAAAGTTATGGTGGGAGTTGTGCCATTTCTTTTCCATGTTTGAGATAATAAAGGGTAGGAATATCATTGCCCGTTAAGTCAGACTATCGGGTCAGGTTTGGATATATATACCCATGGATACAAGACTATGTCCAGGCCCTACCCACGAGTAACTGGGTCAAGTTTGGATGCTGCCCATTGATGTAAAAGCATATCCAAACTCTGCCCATTCGGGTCGGATATCCATAGGTATCTACGTCCATGGGTAAAATTCAACAAAAAATATTAGCTATGATCATTAAATAGACTGAAAGATAGCACAAATATGAATTCCTGCTCAAGAGACAAGCATCGAATACTTCCTTTCATTGCGTAAGACTAACAGAATGATAACAACCTAATATAAGATTAATTTGAAATTATGCTAAATAACAGTTTCTCTTAATAGATGCCAATTCGTCTTGTCAGTAAATTAAAACCACAGTCTAAGAAGACATGGCGACAACTACATTTACACAGCACTGACAACATAAAGGCACCCCAAGTATAGAGATCTCCATGAATATATTGTAAAATGATTTGTTTTTCAAAGGTGCATATTGGCATTAGCTCTACTCATTAAGTATACTATGCGACAAAGGTAGGAAGATGTGATGACTGACCCATATGGATACGCCAGTTAATTAACACAAGTACAACACAAGAACAACCTAAATCTAGAAGTTATGTATACCTTTTCATAAACTCAGTTCTTTTTAGCGTATAACAGACAATCTTTGTTCATTAGGTAAACTGTGAATACCAATGCTGGGTAAATTTAATGCATGCCACAAAAGCACAAATCAAGGGAGCTCATGTACAGCGCCCAACGCGCTACGAAAGAAGCGACCGCGCAGCACCCGCTCCCCCCTTCACGCACTTCTGGGCCAGCCCATTTGCGGGCCGGGACGCTGCCTGTTTCCTTTCTTTTTCTTGCTTTTTCTCTTTTCAATAATTTGGGATATAAAAAACAGTTGCTAATTCTAACAAAACTATCATGATTTCAAATAAATATTCATGATGACAGAAAATGCTCTGGAATTCAAAAGTTGTCCACGAATTCGTAAAAAAATATTCATAACTTTTTTCAAAAATCACGATTAATAAAATGTTCGCTAATTCGAAAATTGTCCATGAATTTGGAAAAATGTTCACAATTCAGAAAAATGTTCACTAATTCGAAAAATGTTCACGAATTTGGACAAAATGTTCTTGATTCAAAAACATGTCCACTAATTTGAAAGAAAGTTCATGATATTGAAAAACTAGACTTTTAGTTTAAAATGTTAATTATTTGAAAAAAAATGTTCATGAGTTTAAAAACATGTTCATGACTTAAGAGAATGTTCACAAATTTCTAAAAAATATTCAAACATTTATTAAAATGTGCATGATTTCAAAAAATTGTTCGTGAGTTATAAAAAATGTTCACAGTTTCAATAAAATGTTCATAATTTAAGAGTCACGAATTAGTAAACATAAAACCACAATCTAGTAAAAAATTGTTCATCATTCCGGAAAACAAATCGTGAATTAATAGATTTTCAGAAATTGAAAACAAAGAATAAAAATGGAAACATAAAAGTAAAGAAAAATGAAAAGAAAACAGAAAACTTAAAATAAAAACGAAAAAAAATATAGAAAACCCCGGTTCAGGGAAGGTTCTAGAACCTTCCAAAAACTGGTTGGGCGTGAAACCCTGAAATGGGCCGGCCCATAGAAAAAGCGGCGAGCGAGGGGGGTACGCGCTACCTCGCTCGCCGGCGCGGTACGCACTATATAGGAAGCCCGACAAATCAAGGCCACGCGATGGCACAGGGCACCCAGTTTTCAGGGGCCCTAAGTTTCAACACCTTAGATCATCAGGCCCAATAATCCCTAGCACATATTTTTTCCCTGTTGAATAGCAGAGGTCCTATATGACGCACATGGCGTCAAAATTGTGGCCTCAGGCAAAGGGGGCTTCCTCATGGTGGGCCAACTCAATATTGGTAGCACTGCATCACATTTTTTTCTGCCTCTGGTTTTTTTAATTTCCTAAAAGAATTCAATTGGTTTTTTTGTTTCAAAGAACATAAATATTTCTTAATTTTAAAACCATTTTTTCTATATTTTATAAATGAAAATTCTGAACAATTTTTGAAATTCCTGAACATTTCTTAAAACCATGAAAACTTTTTTAAATTCCTTTTTTAAAAGTATGAACAGATGTTAAAAGCAATGGGAATTTTTTGGATAAAGCAAACAATTTGGGACATTCCAAATATTTTTTGAATGTTTTGAAGAAAATTAAATTACATGATATTTTTTAAAAAAGAACAAAATTTGAAATTCCAAACATTTTAAATTTTTTCCAAACCATCTTTTGAAAAGTTGAACACTTTCTAAAATTTTGTAGAATAATTATGAAAACCCCCCAAAGAAACCATTAAAAAAATCAAACCAGACCAGAACCTGCTAGAATGTTTCCAAAACCGGATCTTTGTAAGTACAATAAACTAAAGTGGGCCTGCCCATCTCACTATGTCTTACGCAGCTCCCTTTGGTCAACTATCAGTCGCACGAAGCGTCAAATAGGATTCACCTTGAATTGCAGCCCAATCCCGGATGTTGATGGCTGCCCAGTTCCTCGTAACAGCCGCCTTCGGTGGACTGAGGCCCATTAATTTTTTTCATGCAAGGTTGAACAGGTCGGCTTGTTGTTCGACGCTTTCCTACCTTCGTCTCCGCAACGCCGAACACGCTTCAACACTTCATGCCTTCGTCTCGGCGGGATAGGGTTCCGCTACTCTCGCACAGTACGTCCTCTTCCTAGTAAGCCTTTAATAACCATACTGTGTTTTCTGACCGGTAGGAAAACTTCAAAAAAAATCACATTTCAAAGTTTCAAAAAATATAAAAAGAATTATACATTAACATATGGATGTATACTACTCGTGTTAAGATTTTCCTTAAAAAATACATTAACAAGTGAGCTACACAAAAATGACAAATAGCACTCTGAAAATAATGAACAGTTGATGTACTGTTCACTACAGAAAATAACAACCATTTTGACTTACTCTGTAGCTCGTGTCTCAATGAATTTTCTTATAAAAAAATTATGCACACGTAATACACATCTATATATGAGTGTATAAGAGCAACTCCAGCCGCGCCCCCAACAGCCTCCCAAGGCGATTTGTTTGCGCCGGCGTCCGAAAGCCGGCCCAGTCGCGTCCCCAGAAGCTCGTTTTTCGCCGGTTCGGCCTGAAATTGGCGCCGGCAGACCCAAGCCGAACCCAGCACGCTGGGGGGCACCCGGGGGCATCGGGGCAGTCAATTTTGGCGCGAACGAACAGCGGGCCCGCCGAATTAGCGACCCCCGCCTCGTCGTCCTCACAACGCCTGGTTTCCCGCGGGAATCAATGCCAAGGCTTCCGCCGGTCAGCCTTCCATTGATTCCTCACGGGCTGGTGCAGTGCGGCGACGCACCCCCTCGCGCCACGCGTACACACAACGCCGCTGCCCACCTCCCCCCTGAAGGAAATATGCCCTAGAGGCAATAATAAAGTTGTTATTTATATATTTCCTTATATCATGATAAATGTTTATTATTCATGCTAGAATTGTATTAACCGGAAACTTAGTACATGTGTGAATACATAGACAAATAGAGTGTCACTAGTATGCCTCTACCTGACTAGCTCGTTAATCAAAGATGGTTAAGTTTCCTAGCCATAGACATGAGTTGTCATTTGATAAACGGGATCACATTATTAGATAATGATGTGATTGACTTCACCCATTCTGTTAGCTTAGCACTTGATGGTTTAGTATGTTGCTATTGCTTTCTTCATGACTTATACATGTTCCTATGACTATGAGATTATGCAAGTCCCGAATACCGGAAGAACACTTTGTGTGCTACCAAACGTCACAACGTAACTGGGTGATTATAAAGGTGCTCTACATG